ACACACACACACACACACACACACACACACACACACACACACACACAAAATGAAGACCCGGAGCTTAATTATATCAAGAAAAATAAAAAAAAATATAGCAGCACAAGGAGGATGGAGGTAAAGAATGAAATGTTTAATAGTTTATTGACATTTAATATATGTTTTTTCTAACTATAACATGTGGTGCGTACTGCTTGGTTAGCATTTAAGTATTATATTATTTACTCACTTCCATTCTGGAGCCCGACCAATAAACATGTCACTTTAAGTCAATGAATTTCACTCTACCATCCATCCATCCGTCCATCCGTTTTAATAATATGAGATTACACAATTTTATTGTTGCCAGTACCAAAATTTTGGTCTAATGTCGTACCATTTCTTATAATAAGCTTGAGACGAGTGTAGACCCGTCAGAGTCAACTCAAACTTGAAGTTAGGTGGTGCCCATTCCGTTTTGAAGACTATGCTGATATTGAAGTCTCCGACACCTGCGATTAATGGTGTTAGCCTTCTAGATGGCAGCGACAAGCGAACGCAATGGATGGTCGCCTCTATTCCCACTGACACCTTAGTAATCAAAGAAGCGAAATTATTACATAGATGCAGTATTAATCAGTTTTCAGCTTCAGTTTAAACAGTTCTGCAGCAAAGTAATAGCTAAATCGCTAATATTGAACATAAATAAATAACGCAGTACACTCATAGCCCCGCACTAGGGAAATCCTGTATCGCGGGTACTATGGACATACACACAGACAACCACAAATTACACCCAACTCACGAGATAAATAAATGTAGGCCATTCACATATTTCTCCCGACCTGGGAATCGAACCCAGGACCTCTGCGTGGCAGTCCAGGACGGTAACCGTTCGGCCACGGCGGCAGTTAAACATGGAATTTTGTTAATATGCATTTCTTTTACATGGTTTCCGTAAAAAAATAAAGAAAAATGTAAATGCGAAAGATAAACGGCGGCAGTTCGGTTCCCATTTAAAAATGTTGTCTAATTTATTAGTTATTATTATTACTTTGTTAATTTTTTGTTATGGAGTGGTAAAGTTTTATAAAACATCCATTGTTTTAGCAAACGACCTACAGTTCTATACGACGCGACGGTGGGACCAGGTGGCTGAAAGTCTGGCAGTACCAGTGAGCGTGGAATGCCACCTGCAACCTAGCCAAAGACAAAGTGCACTGGAGAACATTGATTGACGGTGTACTTGCTCAAAGTAACGAACCTCATCAGTTAGGGACGGACAGAGACGGTGGTATTGTTTTATAAAAATATACGAGCACACTGCACATTTTGGTGTAATTGTAATTTTATTTTCGTTTGGATTAAGTTTGGTCGTTTAGCATTTTTTTGTTTTATTTCATTTTTGGTTTCAAGTACATAATAACATACAAATATTAAGTATTTAAAACTATCTACCTTCTCACAGGCACCGGCTGAAAACCAGCGCAGATTCTCTATCCAGCATAAAGCTTAGCTGGCTAGCCTTTACGGCTACTATTTTGTATTTTAGTTTATTTAATTTAATTTCTTTTCGTTTGTATTTACTACACTACACAGCTAAGTATGTTTGAAATATTATTGTGAATAGCCGAACAAATGTTTCTTTCTTATTTCCAGACGACTCTTACGTGCAAGCATGTTTTTGTTCTACCTACCTGTAATATCACGGTTACATCGACTGATGAATTTGATTTAAATGTAAATAACTCAGAGTAAAAAAATACTAGTTCTTTTGCAGCCTCTCCTTGTTCAAAACACAAATTTCCTTTAACGTACACGTTTCCACGCCACCGGGCTTTTTCGATTCTTGTCTGTCTTAAATGGCCTCTTGTTAATCCGAGACCTGAAAAAATGGTAGTGTGACTGACAGCGACTTTACCTATTTTTGCCGCCAAGCAGTAATGTGAATATTACTGTCTTCCGGCTTTGAAAGTTAAGGGTGGTGGTGAAATTAAAGGCACATGAGATGAGACTTGTGGACATAAGTCTTAGGGTGACAGACGGGGGCAGTGTCCGTCAGATCTTTACAATTTAAAGCTCTGAGTGGCACTGCAACTACTAAGGACAGAAGTGTCGCTTAACACCAGGCGCACGGCCGTCACTTGGTATCACAAAAGAGGATTGTATGTGCCTAAGTTGCATGACATAAAATAATAATTTATGTAGGTATTTGTCGATAGGTCAATGTTTACCATCATTAGTCTGGGTGAGCTTCAATGTGTTCGGGTATGGAAGTGGCATGACGTGTGCAGTGATAACGTTGACGATCCAAGTGTTAAAGGGATATATATCTATCCATATGGCGGGTGGATTGTTGAACTTTTTTCGGTGAGTTTCTTCTATGCAGATTCCACTGGTGGACGAGATACCCACTAGCTCAAACATACCATTAGAGGCATGCAACACCAAAGGCGCTCCCGTTCGCATACTGCACCCCGTAGTGCAAAATATGTGAGTTATTCCCGCACCTACCTATAAACCATTCAAGTTTAAATGTGGTGCTTCAGTACTGTTATTTGGATAAATTGAAATCTGCATTAAAAATCAAATACACTACCACATTGTGTAATCTTTTGCACTCGCTAGCAGAACGCAGTTGTAATGTTCTCTTCGCCATAGATTCCTCTTCAAAATCATCTGGTACATCTGTTTAATTAAGTAATTATTTGAATCATCAATGTAAAAGTAGTATAGCTTTTTTACTCTGATTTTATAAACTAAGGTTTAAACTTATGGACTTTTGGATTCGTAACATACTTGACACATAATCCACCATAAAAATAGGTTTGTTTTTCAGGGTTTTCCGTTCCACCAAATTTGGCATACACAATGGTAACATGTAGTCTGAAATCATTAATGGAGAGTAATTAGTGAGTTAGTGACTAACATCGAGTATATAACTAGAAATAGAGACGAAATGTCATTTAATTTGTTTGAAAATTATACTGCCATATCATTACTGTGACAACTGCGCCCCGATTGGCTAGCCCGAGATCGACACAATTGACGGATGTCGTCAACAGTTTCACTTCAAATCGACCAGTTAAGTTGAGCTTTGCTATAATGGACGAAAATTGCAAAATCACATATTTAAAATTTAATTACCGATGAAATGTGTATCCGTTTGTTTTGTAATTAGATGTTTTGCTGTTTTTCCCACACCACCGAATAGAACAGCACGGCATTGTTAGAGATATTATCTTTATTACAATAAATACAGGATATTTTTTGGAATTTACGGAGACGTACACACAGGTCAGTAGTTGGCCTGTCTATATTTCAGAGCAAACGGGAGTTGATATTTATAAGAGCTGTATCGCTAATGTGTTACCAGGAATATATGGCCCTTATTTCGTCTCTATTTTTGGATATATACTCGATGGTGAGTAATAACATAAAAGACAGATAGATAATAGTTATTCCAGGATCGGTTAAGTTTACACTTGTCAGCCTCCCCGCACCACATACCATTTCTTTCCTATTCGTCGGGCACACTCTGCGTAACAATCGGTGAGTATCTTACACCGATCGACCAATCCTTTTACAACAATGGCAAGCATTGTATTGTGGACCATCGTTACGATAAGAGCAAGGCCGGACAACGTACTGTGTGTTATTATTAAAATGAAATTTGTAATTAACAATGACAAAAACTCACCAGATCCTATAGGGCGTATAAATTTAACTAAAGCTACACTGTCTTTTACACTAAATCTGAAATAAAAATGTTTAAAGATTATAATTTATGGAGCCTTTTTATAGATTTGGTTGGAATTCCGTATAAATATTACAGATTCTGTAAAAAATAGTACAAACGCATAATACTCAGGATGGGGAAGCACAAAAGAAATGGGCATTATCATATATGCTCTAGGACAGCTTATTCCCATCTTCGCTTGCGTTTTGCTCAATTTACAATTGTCTTCGTCTTGTTTATAATCACCGAATACAATGTCGCCTCTGGAAATAACAATACTAGCTTCAATTAAACAAAGAAATGTCTGATGACGGCGCTTTGACGTAATGAAATACCTTTCGCACAGTTTGTTACTATTGTATGATATGAGCATATAAAATTGAATTTATGTGATTTACAAGTTAAAAATATTGACTTTGGAATGAGAAAGAATAATAGCAATCGAAACTTTATTGATGTCTCTGTTTTTGTGCAAATGCTGCACATGCCTTTGATGATAATTGTTACCTATAAATAAAATTCAGTAAATTTAGTTAATTATTTGCTACTTAGGTTATTCGTAACTTACAGTTTATGATGTTTTGGTAGATTTATCAACGAATCCGCCGTTCCGATAGCAAATTCTCTGTGAATCAGGACTACTCGAGGCGCTGTACCGGTGAACACCGTGTTTCCAGTTACTATAAAATTAGGAATAAACATGGTCTTTTCAATTTATGTATGCAGACAGCGTTGTGAACACTATACAAAATGAATTTATCCAAACTTATAGTAAATTGACTTGTTTCTTTCATTATAAGTGATTGCTAATATAATAATACTAAAATTGTGTTATTCCCAACAAAGTAACATGTATAGAATAAATAACGTACTCCAATATTGTTATTATAAGTAGGATTGCCACCAATACATTTACCGATAAAATTGTTGGAGATGAAGATGAGATGGACAAAAATAATATTCGGGGAATTTCGTCCACATTACAGTGAGTGCCAGGAAATCCGAAGCCTAAGAAAAGACTCTTGATCGGGTAGGGATACCCAGCTAACCAGTGCTAGGATAGCACCTACCGGGTTGGTGTTTAAACTAATATTGACCCACACATCATGGCAGTTTTACAAACAAAGGTGGAAAAAATTGAAATTTGAAAAAAGCGGCATGGCTACCTTAGGAATGTTAGATATACAGGGTGGCCTATGTAAAGTGGTTTACATTTTTTTTAGGTACAAGGACGTCGTAACGACTCATTTAAAACAAACATTGTTTAGCAAATATCAATAGTTTAGAAGTTATTTTTATTTTAACTTATTGGAAGACCAACGGTTATCTTACAGAGTAAAAACTGAAATAATAATGGAGAGACAATTATAAGTCCTCACCGATAGACACACATTAAGTAAATGAGCATTAACTTATAACTATATAACTACTAACTGTACTATGTAGAATTATTAATACAAAGATCGAACACTCAGAAAACATTCCTTCGATCCGGCCGGATTCAAACCGACGTCTTCTAGCTTCCCGTGGCAGACGCTATACCAACTAAGCAATGGAACGAACCAGCGGACTTCACGAATTTTTCTATGTGCTTGCGTCGTATCTTAATATTTGGTTTTTTCAACGACTTTTTAGTCGTAGCGCCATCTATGAGAAATCTATGAAACTTTAACAAGCAGCTTAGTTGGTAGACGTCTTCTAGCTTCCCGTGCCAGACGCTATACCAACTAAGCTGCTTAGTTGGTATAGCGTCTGGCATGGGAAGCTAGAAGACTTCGGTTCGAATCCGGCCGGATCGAAGGATTTTTTTCTGAGTGTTCGATCTTTGTATTAATAATTATAACAAACTGGTGAAATAATTTCACAAAAAATAATTGAATATCAATTCAATACAAGTTTAAAATACAGTGAAGAGCGACATCTCTGGCCAGGGCTGGTAACTGTAAAGATATCTAACTGGGTGATAAAACTTTCATAGATTTGTCATAGATGGCGCTACGACTAAAAAGTCGTTGAAAAAACCAAATACAAAGATACGACGCATGCACATAAAAAAATTCGTAAGGTCCGCTGGTTCGTTCCGTTGCTTAGTTGGTATAGCGTCTGCCACGGGAAGCTAGAAAACGTCGGTTTGAATCCGGCCGGAATGAAGGACTTTTTTCTGAGTGTTCGATCTTTGTATTAATAATTATAACAAACTAGTGGAATAATTCCACAAAAAATAATTGAATATCAATTCAATAAAAATTTAATATACTATGTACATTTTCGCAACACTTAGAAATTACCTACTTGCCAAAAAACAAACTACTAATAAGACGCTTCACCGATGCAACACTAGTGTTAAAAAGGTCAATAATATCAACCTGCTTGGAGAATTTATTGAAGCTATTGGTTGCACGTAAGATATGTGCATTCCGCCGAAAATTCGAAGAGGTCTTAAGTACGCACAAAAGTGAATTAAACCCTAAGGTTTTAGGTCAAGTAAGGTAAAGTCCCTAAGGACTTTATAGGGGCTCTAAGAGAAATCTTGTCACGAGTTCCGGGGAGTCCACGGCACCCGAGGCAATTTTTCGCAAAAATAGTAGGTCTGCTATCTGACGTCAAAAGTTGACGTTTTAGTGGCAAAAGATGATGTTTCTTACAAATAGCAAGATACCGGTTTGACGCGTACCGCTCCCTAGTTCGAAAACATAAAAACTTAATAAATCTTTTTTGCACATTTTCAATACGCGATATGTAGGTAAGGTATTGGGGGCTCCAGACCTGCGATGCGTATTCCCGGTGGCTGCGGACAAATGATGACTGCGGATTATTAAAAAATATTAATGATAAATACATTGACTTACAAATAAATGGACGACGGGTCTAATACAAAAACCACGAAAAAAATGTCCCAAGTCAACCTATTCGAAATTTAAATTGTAATGTCATCGCAGTATCGCGCTGTCAGTCGAACAAATGAAGACATTGAAAGACGGAGTTTGGCGCTCGGTATACGATTTTAGCGCCTTCCAAGTGCGGACACTTTTTAGCGCGGACCCGACGTCCATATAATTGTAAGTCAATGTATAAATACGTATACATATATTTTTACGTCAGTGCTTGTTAGTAAAGTTGCAATAAGACAAATAAATGAATGCTAAATTAATGTTTGAATGTATTTAAGTCATAATTAAGCAGCCAACACGGGGTTTGCGCACTACGTCCTATTCATATCAGTTCCGAACTCGAGAAATGACGGTCCGAAATGTCACAGGTGTTCGAAATGTCATTTTATCTCTTGGTGTACAAGCGATATTTGTATTTTCTCGGATTCGAATCGCATTTAGTGCACAAGCGACATGAGAAGTGGGTCCGAGTTTTCTAGGTTTATATAGTCTCGGATTTGGAACGAATACGAATTGGATGCAGTGCGTAAATGCGCTAAGGCTCAATTTACACTGGCGCAGAGCCCTGTTTTTTAATTAAAACCCACGGCGACGCGCATTAGCGCGCCCGGATCACAATGTAGTCGCCGTCTGACGCGTCACTGCGCGCAAGTTACGCACGACGACGCGCGAAACCGCTCGACTTTAACCAAGCGTCGACACGCGATTCCATATTTGCATAACACAAATTTGTATCTTAATAATGGAAAAATAGATATATACTGTATATAGAATATGCTGTACGCGAACATGACGCGTCGCGACGCTTGGACTCTGCGCCAGTGTGAGTTGAGCCTAAGAGTTGAAATAATCGTTAATTGTATTTTTTTTCTAATATTTCCAATAAAGAGTTCAGTAGAATTACTAATTTATATTTAAATGTTAGACCTGATTAAGGTTTACTACTTACCGTGAATATAATACACAACACCCAGCCATGTGAATGTGTGTACTGGAATGACCCCGTCTTGAATTTGCAGGTTGAAATTGTCATGGCAGATGGAAAAATCTCTTAACCAACAGATGCCGACGTCAAAGTAAATTATTACTACAATAAAATAAGAAACTTACATGAAAACAAAAAAATATATATAAATTTTAATATATGAAAGTATGAAAATTTAAACTACAAACATAATATGCAAAACCCATTTGCGTGAGCATCCATACTCAA